GTTTCAATTTTTTTATTATTATTATTTATTTGATTTATATAATAAATTCAGAGTCGATTTTATTTATTATTTTTTAATTTTTCAATTTTTCATTACAATTTTTTTTTTTTTAATGTGAGGAGGAAGGGAAAAGATTTGTGCGTGTGTGTGCGTGTGCGTGTGCGTGTGCGTGGAGGTGTACGTGTACGTGTACGTGGTTATCTTCACGTGTTTATCGTATGATAAATACCCGTTCGAACGAGTAGGAAAAAAAATCGGACATCCATTATTCAAGGCTTCGTAGTTTTTTTTTTTTTTTTTTTTTTTTTTTTCTACGTATATTTAATGCGTAGGAGTAGGATGAAAGGTCAGTAATAGCAACGACCGACAGGAAAAGGTCAAGAATTAATAATAATAATAATAATAATAATAATAATAATAATAATAATAATAATAATATAAATATTCAATTCGATGACGGGGTAAAATCCGAACAATTCGAAAAAAAAAAAAAATGTTTTTCTTTTCTCTTTACTTTCACTTTTATTTTCGTTGTTGTTGTTTTTAATACCGTTATTATTATCATCATCATCATTATTATTATTATTATTATTATTATTATTATTATTATTATTATTCGAATCGTTTTTGCATTAAAAAAAAAAAAAAAAGTAACAATTATTCGTTGGAACAATTAAAAATGTCCGTTTTTCTTTTAATTTAATTTTTTTCCATGCTTTCTCTTTATTATTATCATTATTATTATTATTATTATTATTATTTGTTTAATTGTTAGGAGGAAAATATATATAAGAAAATGTTTTTTTTTTTTTGGGGGGGGGAAGTGCTCGATATTCAAATTTTATTTTTCTTTTTTGTTCGATGCTGAAGGTAAGACCATCATCATCATCATTCAAGTCATAAATAATTTTACATTTTCGGGAAAAATTTTTTTTTTTTTTTGTTTTTTGTGAGGAGGCCCCCCTTTTTTTTTTTTGTTTTTTGCTTAGTCAAATTTATGCTTAAAAAAAATTTTCCTTAACCCATTCTCGGACAACGTGGGTCACCTTCGCACGGTGACTGTTCAATATTAATTATTTAAAAAAAAAAAAACTTTGTGTGCGTGCGTGCGTGCGCGTGTGTGCGTTTTTAAAATTCATTATTCACTTTGCTAATGGTTGTCGTGTGTTGTGTTGACCGTTGTCGTTTGTTTGTTTGTTTGTTTCAAAAGTAATCGCATTAATTTTTTTTTTTTTTTTTTTTTTTATTCTCGGTGTTACCAGGAGAACGAGGTCGTTAAATGCTCCGAGTCCATTTCAGCAATTTGGCCCCTGCGGGCGAATAATGAAAAATTCAGCCATGGTTATGTAAGTTCTTAACTTTATACATATCGATAATAAAATGGAGGAAAAATATTTATTTATTTATTTTATTTTATTTTAATTTAGGACCATACAAGATCCGGCGAGTCAACGTTTGACGTGGTACAAACCACCGTTGACGGTTTTAGTTATAAAAAAAGTACGAGACGTATCGGTTTTGCAACCTTTCGTACAACTCGTCAAATGGCTCACGGAAGAGAAAAGAATGGTCGTTTTCGTCGAGAATTCCGTCATGGACGACAACGTTTTAGTCAACAATCCTGGATTTTCGTCCGTTAAAGATAAACTCATGACATTCAAAGATGGAAAAGATGACCTGACGGATAAAATTGATTTTATTATATGTTTGGGCGGAGACGGGACTCTCCTATACGCGAGCCTCCTCTTTCAAGTGAATAATATTTTCATTTATTATTATTATTATTATTATTATTATTGAACGTACAGGCACGGTTAGGAATGATGATCACGATGATGATGATTTTTTTGTTTTTATTTGTTTCCGGTTATATCATCACAGCAATCCGTGCCTCCCGTCATGGCATTTCATTTGGGTTCCTTGGGTTTTTTAACCCCTTTCCAATTTGAAAATTTTCAAGAACAAGTCACGAACGTACTCGAGGGTCACGCCGCCCTCACTCTGAGAAGTCGGCTACGTTGCATCATATTGAGACGAAACGAAGAATCGAAATCTCCGACGAGTTTGTTAGTTTTGAACGAAGTCGTCGTCGACAGAGGACCATCTCCGTACCTTTCTAACATAGATCTCTTTTTAGATGGAAAGTACATAACATCGGTGCAAGGTAAGTCTACTGCTCTCCGATGGTTCCAAAGGAGGGGGGGTCCTTGTTTCGTGTTATTATTGTGATTTGTAATTAATGTTTATCAGGTGATGGATTGATCGTGTCTACTCCGACGGGTAGTACAGCATATGCCGTCGCTGCGGGAGCATCGATGATACATCCGAGCGTTCCCGCGATAATGGTCACTCCTATTTGTCCTCATTCGTTATCGTTCAGGCCGATCGTCGTGCCGGCCGGAGTCGAACTTAGGGTACGATAAAAATAAACAAATTAAAATTAAATTTTTTAAAAAATTATTATTATTATTATTTTTTCATTATGCACCCGAACAGGTAGCCATATCACCGGATAGTAGAAACACGTCGTGGGTTTCATTCGACGGTAGAAATCGCCAGGAACTCTTTCACGGAGACAGGTAAGTTAGGGGGAAAAACATAGAAATACATAAATAAACATGCGGAAAACATGAAAAAACATGAAAAAACTCGTTCGACTTTGTAGTTTGAGAGTGACGACATCCATTTATCCGGTACCATCGATTTGTGCTCAAGATCAAATATCGGATTGGTTCGATTCGCTAGCCGAATGCTTACATTGGAACGTTAGAAAAAGGCAAAAACATTTGGACGAACTCAGCGATTTGACTCATTCGAGTTCTAATGACACGTTGGATTCGTTGGATCACACGGAACAAATCGACAGTTGAACGAAATCGCTCTTACTCCTCGCGTATATATATATATATATATATATATATATATATATATATATATATATAATTTGTTTTTGTTTTATTATTATTATTATTATTAATAAGTTTACGTCACGTTTAATAATATTGCCAATAAATGATGAAAATGATCGCCGAATGCTTTTTTTTTTTAAAATTTTTATATGTAAGTAAATTCTAATTTTTTTTTTTTTCTATCTCGATTGATCGATAGAATTTACATCGAGATTGATATTAATAATAATAATAATAATAATAATAATATTGATTGTTATTTTTAAAAAAATTTTCTTTTTTTACGTACTTATACGCGTTGTTATTTTTTTTCGATCGAGCTTAACAATTTGTGCTAAACGAAAAAAAAAAAAAAAAAAAAATTATAATTTACGTTTTGCGTGTGTTAAAAAACACACTTATTATTATTATTATTATTGCGTATATCGCGGTGGGCGTGAGTGAGTGCGTGCGTGCGCGACACGCATGACACGACGTCAAAATATATATATATATATATAAAAATTGTTTTTTTTTTTTTTTTTTTTTTGAATTGTAAAATTTTGTTTTTATACATAATAATAAAAAAAAAATAAATAAATAAATAAATTTTATTTATTTTTGTTTTTATTTATTTATTATTATTATTATTAATTTTTAAATACATATATATATATATATATATATTTATTGATTTATTTACATAAATAACAATATATCTAGTCGTTTTGAAAAAAAAAAAAAAAAATTTAAAATTAAAAAGAAAAGAAAAAACTCATTAATAAAATAATAATAATAATAATAATAACATTTTTATAATCAGGTACATGTACAAAATTGTAAATATCAATTTTTTTTTTTTTTTTTTTTTAAATTTGAGCGTTTAATAATAATAATAATAATAATAATAATAATAATAATAATAATAAGAGAGAGAAAGAGAAACAATTATGAGATGTTAAGAAATTATTATTATTATTATTATTTGTGCATAATAATGGCGGTTTTGTTAACCAATCGATGAAGGTTATGACTTTTCCAATTTCATTATTGTTTTTTGATTTCCTTTTATTATTCTCGCAGTTTCTTGCATGAGTCTTTCCAATCTCGAATTTTCTTCTTCTAATCTTCTTTCCAAAGCCGTATATAAATTTACGTTTTCTTTCCTGTAAAAAATCATCATCATTATTATTATTATTATTATTTCGTGGGAAATTTTTTCGAAATGATGATGATGATGATGATAAAATGTTTTGTTACCTTTTGAAATTATCGTTTTGAGTAATTGAATTTAAATCGTCTGATATTATTTTTATATTTTCTTCAACGTCTGTTATTTGATTTTTTAATTTTTCCAATTTTCTCTCCCCCCTCTGTAGTCTTCTCTGCGTTAGTAAGAACAAAGCATTTTTTTCCGGTATCGTATTATCGTTTTCCTGTTGTTGCTGTTGCGTTTTACTCTTCGTTTGTTTCGATTCAAACAATTGACATATTTCTTTAACGGGAGTCTTGTAAAGATCGTGTAATGATTTTGTCCTTTTTCTTTTTCTCAATTTATTATTATTATTATTATTATCACCTAATATGTTTTTTAAATTTCCAATGCTGTTGCTTCTCGATAATGGACAATTATTATTATCAATCGTCGTCATGGTCGTCGTCCATTCTTTTATTTCTTTATCAGAATTTAATGATTCGAAAAAATTTTTCCTTTCTCTAACGGATAAAAAAGAAAATTGTTCGACGTTTCGAGATATCGAATCGATTATGTTGTTATCTTCTCCAGAACTTATACCTGATTCGTCAGAAACATCTTTTGAATTTGTTAAATTATTCATCGATTGAGTTCTCAACCATGTTTTATTATTATTATTATTATTACTATTCGTTTTTTTCTTATTTTCCTTTTCCGATATTATCGGTAATGAATTTTGTATTTTAACTTTTATTTTTTTACTATTATAATCCCACAACGGATTTCCCCCCGTCATTTCCGTTTTTTTATTTTTATACATAATGAAATCTTCTGACGATCGACGTACGACAGGTTTATTTTCGGTTTGTGTTATGTTTTCTTCGCTTTTCCCCCTTCTTAAATTATCCTTATCCTCCTCCCCCTCCGACGACGACGACGACGACGACTTTTCTTTGTGTCTTATTATGCTTAATATATCTAAAAATCTAACGTTTTGTAATGGTGTTTGACGTATCAATTCAACTGCTAGAATTCTTATCCATTTTTCATAATTTTCATCCGTCAATGCCTAAAACAAACAAACAAACAAACAAACATTATTATTTTTATTGTTAACAATCAATTTTTGTTTTGCAAAATGTAAAATGTTACAGACAGACAGATACCTGTCTTGAACTTTGTTTATCTTTTGTACCTTTTGATCAATCAAATGTTATTCTGTAGGAAAGTAACAAAACATTTAACTTATTTTGTTATGAACACTTTAAGGTTTTAAGGTACTCTAAAGAGAGCCTTTTGTTAACATTCTTGACTTCCTACCCTTTATCATTTCATCCTTTAATTCACTCTTTGGATGTAATATCAAGACTTGTAAGGATGACATTCATAGTTAACTTCTTTTTAATGTATAATTTTTATTAATTTTCCAGTTTTCAGGTACCGATCCTATACCTTTCACCAAACTAAACACATGAATATTATTATTCATTTATTAATTACTCACTTAATTAATGTTTTCTTTTTTTAATTCTTTCCAAATTTTTAATTTCATACAACATGTTGTTCCTACCGTTCTTAAGTTCTCTGATCTTTTTTCTTCTTTATGGTATTATTATTATTATTATTATCAATTCAAGTTTGAACATTGAAAGTTGATTCAACTTGTCATATCAATAACTTTCACATTTGAAAATTTTTTATATATATTGTAGAATTTTTTTTTTTTTTATAAAAACAGGTAAGCCGATTAATAATAATAATAATAAAATCTTGATTACCTGAGGGCATACCTTTTTTTTTTCTTCTGAAATTCACAATCATTGAATTTAGAATATTAATAATAATAATAATTATTTTACATTTTTTTTCACATGTCAGCCCTCCATTTTTATTTTAATACTCACACATTATTAAATTTTGATATGTTGTTTATATTAAATTAACAATCGTTAAAAAATTGTACGTTATTATTAAATCCAAATAATAATAATATTAATAATTTAATAAATTATTCAAATACTTAATTTTTTTTAAAAATAATAACGAGGGTAATTTTATAACCGTTAAAAATTTTGTAACATCATCAAGAGTTTTAATTAGCGATTTAGAGTTTGTGAATATAATAATAATAATTATAATAATGAAGATTGAATTTCTGATCGCGTGTTTTAAACATTTTTTCTTAATAATTTCTTTCTAAAATTAAAAAAAGAAAAGAAACAATTTAATTCTTATTCATTCATAACGTATACACAAAGAAAAATTTTTTTATACTTAACTTTATGATTTTAAAAACTATTTCTTTGTTTTAAAAAATATTTAATATTGATAACAAAATGTCCGTTACAAATTGTTTTAAGAAAAAAACTTCCGGTTTTATAACTTTTGATTCTTTAAAATTAATAATAAGATTTGAAATTTCTTGTTTGATCGTTTTACTGTCAACCATAATTACATCTTTTAAGTTATATTCAAATGATCAGTTCTACCAACTACGTCACGATTTTTTATTAAGTAAGGAATTACGTCACGATTTCCGTTAGAAAAAATTTCTAGAATGATCGATTACTTATAAACGAAAAATTCGTTTTATTATATAAATTATTTAATAAAGTTTTTAAAAAAAGTATTAAAGCAAAGATAAAAACACAAAACCGATAATGATTTCTATTTAAAAACAGAAGAACAAAATTCAAAAAAACGTGACGTACTTCCGTTTTGACGCGATGACGTTTTTTCAAAAATTCAAATTTTAGTCGTTTGAAAATGGAACGTTCGAAAGGTTCTATTAATTGTTTAAAGTGTTTTACAGTTTTTTTTTTCTTGTAATTATCTTATTCTCTAAACGTTAATCTTAATTATTAATTTCATCCGTGTTTTGTTTTATTTAAATCATAATAATAATCATTTTATAATTACCGTTTTTGTAAATATCCTAAGAAAAAAATGTCGTTTTTTTTCCGCGTCTAAAATAATCTCCATTAATCATGAGAAGTGAAATTTTTTTTTTTTTTTTGTGACAAGTTACAATTGATTTAAGTGGTGAATAATTAAATATAGAGATAAACGGTAAGACCACACATTTTGTTTTTTCATTTTAATTGATATTTATTAAAATTAATATTTATATATAGATAAAACGATGTAATTTGAGTAAATTTATAATATGGCGATTATTATAAAATATCTTTTGTGTTAGTTAGCACCGCGGATAATGAGATTCGTTTTTTTTGTTTAATAAAAATGTTTAATTTTTTAAATTGAAATATTAGCATGTCTCAATTTGATAAATGTAAAGACCATAAATGACTAATTCATATTAATTATTATCGGTGCAGCCATTTGTATTAACAAAATTATTATTATTATTATTATTATTATTATTATTTTATCGTTTTTTTTTTTTTTATTAATTCATTTGATTACGTATGGTATTTACGATTATTATTATTATTATTATTAAATCGGTTTCCTTTGTTTAAATTTAATATAAGTAAAAGAAACGTGAAAAATTTTCGTCGTTTATATATTTTTTTTTTTTAATTTCATAAAATTTTATCTGTTGAAAAAAAAAAAAAAATGTCTCTGATGAAATTACGTTGATATGAATGCGTAATGATTTATATACGACCGTCGTACCAACTTAAAATTTTTTTTTTTTATTGTTGGCACAGCGCCAAAGTATTTTTTGGTTTTCAATATTTATTTTATCTTAACAAAAAGACAAAAAATTTATCAACAATTACTAAAAAAAAAAAAAAAAAAAAAACGTTTTTTTTTTTTTTTTTTTTTTTACCACTACCCAAAGGTAAAAAAAAAAAATTAAATTCGACGATGTAATCTTTATTCATTATTTAATACGTTAAGAAAAAAAAAAAATAATTTTTTTTTTTATTAAAATTGTCTCGAGGCATCTTTTTTTTACGAAATAATTTTTAGTCATTAAGATCTTATGTAAGGTATGATAAATTATGATTTTTATCTACCTGAACCTGGAAAGTCAATCGCTATATAAAATCCCGTTATGAATTTCTTTTTTTTATCTTTCAACTTCCGAATTTTTTTTCATCTTTTTTTATAATAATTTAGTTCCTACTTGTGTTTAGTTATTATTATTATTATGATTCAATAATCGACTTCCTTATTTTTTATACATATATATTTTAACGTAATCGTAACGAATCGAATTATTTTCTTTTTTAAAAAAGAAGAAGAATCACAGACAAAATTTAATAATAATAATAATAATAAATAAATGGATGAGAAGAAGAAGGCCTTGAAGCCTTGTTGTTTGTTTCCATGCGATTATTTTACTTTTTTTTTTTTTTTTTTTTAATATTTTATTTAATAAGCATACCTGAAACATAAGCAATCTGAGTCCTTCGGCTTCTGTAAGGCAAAATGATCTTGGTATATTACTCGGACGAAGGCTTAATCCTCTCAATGGTAGCCTTAATTCAATATTTCCACATTGTTCGTTAACGAGTATCAAACTACCCTGTTTAACCTCTCCCGTTCTTAACACCCATTCCGAATTTCTTTTATTCCACAAAAGTTGACCTGTTGAGTAAAAACATATCATAAAAACTCACTTGGTAATTATTATTATTATTATTATTATTAACAATTTCATTCTTTTTTTAGTACTCTGACTTTTGTTAATCTTTATAAAAAAAAAGAGTTTTCTTTTGTAATTTTGACCCCATTTGATTGTTTTGTTGTATTTAGCAACGTTTAATTTTTTTTTTTAATATGTTATTAGTTAAGTTAAAAAGTCGTAACCCGATATAATAATAATAATAATAATTTCGTAATTTTTTAAAGTATTTTAGCCCTTATACCGACAACGTCACGGATGATATCTCTATGATATTCGGGTCGTATCTTCCTGGAATAGAATAGAATAGAAAAAAATGGCATTGTCACCCCCTGTCATGTTAAATTAAATCATTTTAAAATTTTTTTTTTTTTTTTTTCAAATCGTTATGATTTAACATTATGTTGTTTTTTTTTGTACTTTGTTTTGAAAATTGTTTAAAAAAAAAAAAAATTTAACATGATAATTGAAAAAAAAAGTAAATAATTTTTGTTTTTTTTAATGGTTTATTTCTAGCGTCGTAATCATTATATTTCTAACCGCATGCAAACACACACACATGCTGACGTTTTTTTAAAACTGAATAATAATATTATAAAAATATATATAACCGGTATTATAATTTACAAAGCGAAAATTAATATTAAAAAAAAAAAAAAAAAAAAACGCCCTTAAACCAAATATGGTAAACATTTTCACTTGAAGTTGTGAGTTTGTTTTAGGCGTAGCTTATTGCATTCGATTTTTTTTTTTTTTTTTTTTTTACATATATATAGGATAGTGGTAGGGTTTTGGCAGAAAGTTCTTCAGGTTTTTACGATCGAACAACAACAACAACAACTAGTTATAAGAATTTTTTTTTTTTTAAAAGGTCAAAAACCCGATAGAAATGCCCTCATGAATTGTGGAGGTGAACCCGATTTACAATATTCTTCTTTTGACTTTTTTTTTAACAAACGACGTCGTGAATATTTCCTAAAAAAAAACTTTTTCTCTTTATTATAAAATTGTATATATATATATATTTCATAACGCCATCGATGTAGTAATAATAATAATAATAATTCAAATGATAATGATTGTAAATTTTATTATGGTAATCTTTTATAATAAGTATTGCGTTGTTATTTTAAACTTTACATTTATTTTTTTATTTTTTATTTAAATTTTCATTTTGTATTTTTCAATTATTATTATTATTATTATTCGAAATTACATTTTTTTTTTTTAAATTTAATAAAAAAAAAAAAAAAGGTTAGAAGAAGAAGAATTTTAATCGTCACGATAAAAAAAATGTAAAAAGTTTGCGTTTGAAAACTTTAATAATTTTTTTTTTTTTTTTCGTTTAAAGTGTTAAATTAGTTAATTAAAAGTTGTATCTCATTAAATTAAAACCTTCAATTTTATTATTATTATTATTATTATTATTATTATTATTATTATTATTATTATTATTATTCATCATTAAACAATACAAGGCTACTTGTCGGAGTTTTTAAGTATTTATCCGAGGTTTCTACCCGATTCCTTAGGGACAAATACTCGAATTTCGGTGGTGCCACTTATTATAAGATAGCACCACATCAATTCTTGAAGGTCTTCCTGGGTCCGTCTTTTTCGATGGGAACGATTTGTCTCCTGAACTGGGCTCCGGTGACTAACATCTTTGGAGTGGCCAGGGTCAGAAGCAGTGAAATTCACGTTCTCGTCGAGCTGCCTCAGGTCGACAGTAGAACAAGATTTTGTTTTTTGGTTCTTACTTTGTCTTGTTCTCATTTTTTTGCTCTTTTTAAGCCAACAGCACGTGGCGTTCTCAAACGGTCACCCATCCAAGTTTGCACCACGCCCGATGCTGCTTAACTTCAGTGATCGTACGGAACCGGTGTGACCAGCACGCTATGGCCGTTGGCTTT